TAAAAAGAACGATAAACAACTTAATAAAAACAATATTTCACCAGGAAAGAGCTTGTAAGGCAATTACAGAGCAATCTCCAAAAGATTAATTTGCATTGTATGTAAAACGGAGTAGTCTGTTGCAAGCAATTATTTGCTGCTTTTGTGACTTCCATTTATATGTAATAATTTTAGATATATGAATGCGTATCGGTTTCAGTTCTTTGCCTTTTAAATTTATGGTACCTTACATCTTTTAATATTCTGTGATTAATATGGATTTGCTAAATAACTTAAAGTTAATTTTTGCTATGCCCATGCAGAACACAATAAACTGTTCCCTTTTTTTGCCCACCCCAGCAATACCTACTCACCTTCCTTTTTCTTCCCAACTGCTCCATTCAGCTGCAGAGTGCCTTAGAGTCACTGCATTCATAGCTCACACAGGGCTATGGATTCTATGTGTGAAAGCACTTCCTGACCCACTGGTCACATGCTCCTCAATACGTGCAAGCACTAGGTGTTTTCCTTGGCTCCTAATGCTAAACTGAGCAGAGAAAAGGAAGGAGAGTCAAGTATATGCAGGGGAGGGGAGATTTAAAAAGAAACCTTCTTGTTTTGCTCTGAATAGGCTTGCTTTAAAAAGACCTTGTCATTTCATAGCAAAAAAGAAAAGCTGTATGGAAAAAAAAGTATTTTAATACTAACATCTCCTGTTGCCCATGACACAATTCTCCTTTGTATTTAAGAGATATTACTGCCTAAAGAATCTTCCATGTCTAGCACTTTTGGGAGTGTTGGATGCTTGGGTCCCCTCTACATTCTGAGGTTCTTCCCACTGACCCCTCAGATATTACAAGACATAGTGGTGACATAGGGGCTGACAGAGAGAACTGCAGCGCTTAGTGTTGGTCCAGGCATCCAACATACTCAGAACAGTGCTGAATGCTGAAAATACTTTAAGCAGAGGTATCACTTAAATACAGTGGGGATGGTGACTTCTTTTCCTCTTTTCCATGCAGCTTTTTCTTTTTTTTGTTAAAGCAGATCCAAAATAATTAAAACGTAATTGCATTTAGGAAATGCTAATATTTCCTGCAGAAAATAGAGCTCCTTTCTCCTTCTGGTGTCTATACATATAACCAGTTGTGAACACTTGGTCATGTGACCTTTGCCAATGATGCTTGAGAAACTGGTATTGAAGCTGAGACAGCCAATCTGCTTCTCTGTCTAAACTGTCATCCCCCCCTTTGGCAGAGACCCGAAGCCACTTTTATAAGACAACACAATCAAACACAGATTTAGCGCAGGGCCCTCCTTTCCATCTTGTCTTTAATTGTATTGTCATTTTAATGTCTTCCTTATATTGTAAAGCGCTGAGCAAACTGTTGGCGCTATATAAATCCTGTATAATAATAATACACCGTTGCCTTTATTGTACCAAGGACATAACTGTACCCAGAGCATGCCATGTAACTAGCACAAGGTCGAGCAGCAGTAAAGCCTATACTGCCAGGCCACAAAATGTTTTAGCATAAACAACATGCAGCAAATAGCTTTGGATAGTATGAATGAAGGCAGAGTCTGACAGCCTGTATTAAATTGCTATGAAATAAGTTTGATGGAAGAAGTAGTTATGCATCACTTAATATGCATTCTAATAATAACATCTCTAAAAGTACAAGTAATCAGGTTCAATTTTTAGATAATGCTGCTGTTGATACTTTAACCTTTTGTTTCAGACTGACCATGAGTGAAATGTACTTAGCATGAGAATCTAATTGATTTGTTCCTCAGGCACTGTTCAGCTGTTACACATTTTTATATTGAATTGTATAAAACCTGAAGGACAGTAAGAGAGGACAGTGGTTTCAGTAAAAGAAAAAGCAGTAATAACACGTTTTCTTGTAATTCCGCTAACCCTCCTGGCAAGTCAAAGTAAGCCAGCACGTACAATTATGGCTTAAGAGATCTAGTTAAAGTTAGTCCGGTTAATGATAGCACTAATTAAGATGTTATTCAGTCTTAACTGCAATTTTGCATTACATTTAGTTGTTCATTCTTTGTGACACCAGTCACACATGGCATTTGCCTTTTCAATCACCTTTAAAAAACAATTTTTAAGAAAAAAATCAATTACCTCTGATGAGTATAAAGTAAACCCAAACCTCTTAACGGTCGCTGATTTGAAGGATTGTCCTTCATTTGAAACCAAATGTTGTCCCTCTTTTTGGTCTAATTTAGGGGTAAGAAAACTCTGGCCCTCCAGCTGTAGTACAGCTACAAATCCCATTAGGCATTGCAAGACTCTGACAGCCACAGGCATGACTCCCAGAGGCAGATGCATGATGCAATTTGTACTTTCAACACAGCTGGAGGGCTGGAGTTTGCCTACCCCTGGTCTCACGTATAGATATTCATGAAAATGTACTATTTAACTAACAAAAGTGTTATTCTGCACTAAAACCTCCATCCCATTTTTTAAGTATCCCATTTGCTATATTAAAAGGCTAGTATACAGAAAAAGTAAAGGTGGAAAAACAACAATCCCGAATTTAACCATTTATTTTTGGCATATCAATTCTTAATGGTCCACATAACTGGGGGCATGGTAAGGGTGTGTCCATTGCCTAAATACATTGTTGTAGAATGTGTCCCTCTATCTTAATTCAGAAAGTTGGGAGGTATGGTAAACCTTCCCTAACAAATAATATGAGAGCTGCAAGTGCTGACCTTTCAAAGCTGCTAGTTTTAAGACTGCCGACCTGCCGGTTCCTCGTTGTCGCTAGCCCTGTGCAGGTTGTACACCTAAGAGCAAGAGCAGAGTAAAGCAATGGTTTTGGTTACCCTGCGAGCTGGAAGCAAAATAGGTAAGTGTGAGTGTGAGACAACTGATCTTGGTTGTGATACTAAGGCTAACCAGTTGACTTTGGTAGAAGGGAGCAGCACAAGATAGCTGGTGTAGGTGGGCACGAAGAATTAATTCAGTTCTGATTGCATATGTTTCGAATGGCAAATAGTTCAGGAAAAAAAATTGGATCAACATAGCCATGTAACGTTAATGGGCACTTTTTGGCATTTTGGTAAGGTAGCTAAAAGAAGGCCAACACTTTGCCAACACTTTTTTTGCATTCCGCTCATAAATATCAATACCGAGAAACCATCTCATCTTATTCAATACAATAACATTAATTCAAGACTATCATGTAGGTTATTATTTAGGCCAATCAGCAGACTAGGCACCTGTACAGCTAGCAACACATTCCCTTAAGCATCTCCTAAGCTGCTTAGTAAAGTATTAATTCCTAAAAAGAGCATTAGTATATTATGGGTTATTATTTTTGCAGCTATTACTAAGCTTAGTGGTCAGTCCAGGAGGTAGAGATGGCTTAAGTGTGACCAAATTAGATTCCCTGAGACATCGCTTAGGCTACCTAGTTGGAATAGAGTCTCTTTGTGAAATGGTTCTAGACTTCCAATGAGCTTAATAAGATTGGTTACGGGCATAAATATTGACTACATCAACCTGTCTTTTGTATTGCTTAATCTGCAGACAGACCGTCATGCAAATAGATTCTCCATTTGTACATCTGTATTGATCTGTAATGAATTCATGTCTGTAGGTTTGTTTTTTTCCCTGACTTGACAGTATACAGGCTTTCTCCACAGAGGCCCGTGATAGGCAGGAAAGAGATAGGTTGTATAAATATATGCATATAATTAACTACAGACAGATAAGCCAAGTATAATTACTTCCTCTCATCCACTGTTGACTAGACATTCGGGCAGCAGTTGTTAATTATAAGCGTTAATAATAGATTCGTGAGGATGATTTGCCACAGTTCATAGATTTAATAGGTCTAACAAAATTAGGAAATATTTTGTTGCTAGTAAATATGTAATAATAGATCCATTAGAGAAATTCATCCTAAGCACTCCTTTTTGACAGAAGGAAACTTGCGCTATTATATGCGATAATTACAGGCTTGCTGGATGTATTAAAATATAGTGAAAGAAATTGTTGTTTCTCTTATATGTAAGCGTGATTAATACTTTCTGCCTTATCCAGTGTTCTGACGATCAATATTGCATTAGCTTGTCTAGGAATCCCTGTGAGAACAAATTCAATACTTCTTTGTATTGTGTTGGCCCATCAGTTTCTGAATGTACAGTGATTGCAGAGACAGAGAGCAAAGATCTGAGATGTCCAGGGGGCAAAATCCAGACAATCTAAATGTAGACATCCCAAATAAGTGCTTTAGAATTATAAGCCAGAGCCATGAACAGGCTCTTCAATCACAGCTTCTAGATGAACAATGTCCTTCTTGTTCCATTTTCAATGCCCGACTTGTTTATATGTCAAAGAAGGCACCTGAGTTCAATGGCTGCCCTTTATTGTTTAAGTGGTTTCCAGCCTATTTTTATGGTGGCACCAGAATGTTTTTCTTCCAGCTGAGAAGAAATACTTTCTCTTAAAGAAATTACAGTCTATCTTTTGAGAAGACTTCAGTTCAACATTGGATGCACTACTTTTTTCAACTGCTCCACAACACATGGTATTGCGGTACCGTATGGTATTGAGGCATGGTCAAGCTCATTGGGCCGGGAGGTGCATTTGGAGTGCCATTCAAATGATTGGCAATGCACCTGTCCCACTGTAATGCACGGTAGGTGCATAACACGGTAGCGTGTACGTGGCATTGGTGTGAACGGGCCCTAAGAGAAAGGTAGGAATCTACACAGCACATGCTCCTATAAGTACACCCTGTGGGATGGTCTGTGAAAATCTGACTTCAGGAGATTATATGTAAATTAACTTTCTGATTTTAGCACAAACTGCACTTTTATTTGATCGCATAAATAGCTCAGAGATTGCATTTCACTTGTCTGGAATTACTCCCTAATCCTCCTTTCCTTATTTTTTTCCCTAAAAGTTCTTTTTGTCCTAATTAGCTATTTTAATTACCAACTAGTATTTCCATCTTTATTAAGCTACTTTTCTTTTCTTTTTTTTCTGACAGTGGGTCCACACATTGGACGTTACTGTGGACAGAACACACCAGGACGTATTCGCTCCTCAACTGGAATCCTGACGATGATTTTTCACACGGACAATGCAATAGCCAAAGAAGGATTCTCTGCGAACTATACTGTGTTGCAGAGCAATGCGGAGGAAGGTAGGTATCTATGGAGATTGTTATGTATTCTCTTGCCTCTCCAGCCACATAAAATATTTAGAAATGTTTAAATAAATAACATCTACACCAGTCTAGGATATTGTTTCTGTATAACAAGATGTAACTTTTTTCTTTATTAAATGAACACAAATGTATACAAACTGGAGGAAAGACTTAAGTGTAGAACTTGTTCATAGTGACCAATCAGATAGCTTGTTTAATGTTCACAGAGAAAGAAAGATGAAATCTGACTGGTTATTATGGACTAGACATGTGTAATTTATTTTGTCCCAAATCGAAATTGGTACTAGAAAGGTGTTGAGAAAAAGTTTTTGAAAAAGACACTGTCATTGTGGGAGATCTTGTTGAAACAGAATGGGTTTGGAACAAAAGGACTTGGAATTATTCCAGGACCATGATGATACAACCTAATCCTGATCACGGGTAAAAGGAAATAAAGAGTAGTGGGGTGTGTTGTTGGGGGGACCCCCAGTGTAGATATGTGTGAAAGTTGGAATATAAAGAAATAAATGATGGTATGGACTTTAAGATCCCCACAGTCCCCACTTTATTTCCAGACATAGCTGTGTTATTTTATATAAATCTAGGAAGATTATAGCAATACATTTGTTCTGTAAGACATTTTCTTCAGGATCATAGTAATGCTTGCTCAGATAGTGGGTGTTAGAGACCTGCGGCTGCTTAATTTAAACACAGAAGATCCACAGGTTGGGTACTGTAGCCATACCCTGTAAGTCATGCTCCACTCACCCACCTTTTTTATGCCATATGAAAAGGTGAAAAGGCAAAATTTGTCTCTTGTTGTTATCCTTTGTGTGTCAGGGCTGGAGCTTACTGGAGGCCTGTACAGGTGGAAGCCTTTGGGTACAGCCATTGAACAAGCCCATACTGTCTTGGGATTATTTTGTTTTTTTGTTTCTTTGCACACACCAATAGGCATGGATACGGGGAATACAATTCAAACCATGAGTGGTTCTGCTGAAGACAGTCACAAATGTTGTTTGGTCTGTAGGAATGCTTGGTGAAGAACAACTGGAACAGATTATGCAGCAATTTGCAGTTCCGTTTCATTGTCAGGGAAGAGCAATGTTTTGACCCTCTCATAGTAGGCTGGATTAGAATCCATAATAAGTATAGTACCAAGCCAGTTTAACTTCAAAGCATTCACATGTGACCCCAATTACCTGGACAACAACATCATATATTATATAAAGCCAGTGGCAGGAAGAGGGTGCCATGTTTGCCAGCCCTAAAATCCACAAAAAAGATCATACTTGCCTGAAGATCTATTAACATAACAGGTGACATATGTATATAATCTTACATTTATGTCAAGGAAAAAAAAATATGCAGTACATCCTGCAATAATGTACATTTCCATATGTTGTATCCCTTTAAAGACCCTGCTAGTACAGAAAATATATGTTTGCACTCAGCCTATTGTGGACTATCATCACACAGCATTTTATGGACTGAAATGTTGTCAGCCCTACACAATGCCTTTTGGTAAGCTACTCAACACTCCCACCCTCAGATCTTTACAACATAAAGGCTAGTTATTCTGTTCTCCAAGTTGAGAATTTGGAGGGCTCTTTGAGATAATATAAGAAGTGTAGAGGTGGTATCTGCATGCAGTTGCCTTTTGCCTTCTAAATCCGTAAAGGTAGCCCTGGGTAAAGATCTGAGAATTCGATTGAGGGGGCAAACCAGTTTATTTCAAAGTCAGATAGTAACTTTATGCTTACTCTTAATGATTAATCTATATAGCAGCATAAATCACATTTTAAATATGTTTCAATAAAAAAAATCTATCTGATAAGTTTGAGAATAATTAGTACTCTGCAACGATTGTTGTTGTTTGGAATGGCACAGGATGCAGAAGAGGAAGTACCTCCACTTGAAGGTTAGAGAGCTACTGATTTTGCCATGGATAACACATATCATTTATAAAGTTGTTGTTGGGTTTTTTTTTTACTGACTTCATTCAAACCTAAAATTTACTAGCAGGTTGGAGAATAATGTTGACTTGTACATCATTGCAGGGACGTGCGGCCAGGGAAGGCAGGTGAGGCAAAACCTCACCTAGAATTATGGATAAAAAGCTGTCAGCTTCATGTCTGAAGCTGACAGCTTTTTCTCCATTCAGATCGGCATCTAACAGGTTACGCAGCAGGGAAATCCTCCCCGCTGTGTAACCTGTCATGGACGGAGCGCCTCGGCAGTGAGGAGCAAGTGAGGGACAGGGAGGCTCCTCCCTGTCTCCTCCCTTCCTTCTTTACACTAGCTTGGGGGCAGGGCTTCATCAGTCTGGGCTTTGGTCGGTGGGGGATGGGCTTCTGGGGTGGGGCTGGGCAGTGTCTCACCCTGAGCAAGACGTACCGCACGTCACTGCATCATTGCATATAAATTATATTGTTTTCTTTAACCCTTTCGCTGCCAAGGACGTATGGCATACGGACCTACAAAAGTGCTTCCAGCTGGCCAGGTCAGTATGCCATACGGACCTGGCATTTACAGTTCTACTATAAGCTGATGGTCGCTTTAGCGACCATCAGCTTATCTATAAAGCTGGTTATACTTTTTTTTTCTTGTATTTAGATTTTCAATGTAGAGAGCCTCTCGGAATGGAATCTGGGGAGATCACATCAGATCAAATCACTGTATCCTCACAGTACAGCACCAACTGGTCCGCAGAAAGATCTCGATTGAACTATATTGAGAATGGTTGGACACCTGGTGAAGACTCTGTTAAAGAATATATACAGGTATGCAGCAACTCTAACAATGTCCAACTCTAAGGTGCCAACTTATTTCTAGAGTTATAGATATATGTAAATTCTACAACCTCTTGTCTGATTAAAAGTGTGAGTCCACTCAAAACTGACATTTCAAATTTTGGTAAATGCTGGAGAAACAAACGACGCGGCAAATGCACTTTGCTAAAAAAAAGTCTAATTGCTTTTAGTAAACCAACACCTATAACTGAGAAGTGCCACCCATGCTTCTTAGGCAGGCAGATTTAATGAAAATAACTGCCTATCCCTGTGTTCACCAGGACCCATTGAGTAACCTTATGGGAGTCACAACACACGTTGTAAGAGAACATTACCACCCCATAGGAAGACTTAACATGACCAGGTTCTCCCCTGATCTTCACAGGCTGTGTTCTATTTAGACTACAATTAAATGGGGGACAGGTGATTTAGGTCACCCTTAGGGCCTATTCACATCTTAGCATCGCAGCAATGCATGGTATTGCAGTGCCATTCATTTTTTTATTTGGTCCCTTAATTTACATCCCCAATGCACTACAAGAAACCCATGTCTTAGTGCATCACAACACAGTGCATCTGGGGGGAAAAAAGGTACAAGTCAGTTAAACCTCTGTTGTGGTGCGTTATTTTGAATTGGCTGCCTTACTGAAACGCATTTTAATAGGCTACATAACATGCGCCATCATGTGTGCAGTAATGCTTTGCAGAGGTCTGAATCTGACCTTGGATATGTGAGCTAACAACCATGTTGTACAAACTACATGCTAAAAAATGCACTTTTAATAACAGGAAAGGTTTACAAGTCATGTCACAAAACATTCATACTTCTACACACGACATTTCATGTATAAGAGCCGGTATCCTTTGGGAAAAAAAGCTTTTTTTTTCTTACTGACGTTAGTTCACTTATGAAATAGGAAATCCTGTGCTAAAAATAGTGAAGCTCACAGCAGGGGGGAAAGTAAATATAGCCAGACTAGGGCTGGTAAGCATCACTTGAAAATCCAGTTGCAATGGACTACTGTAGAGAGGGAAATTATATATACACATGTTTATATCATGCCTCTGTTAAGAAAACGATATACAGTACTATGGGATCATTTTTGTACGTTTCTGAATAAGCAAAACATGTATGAAATCTGCTGCATTTAAATCCCCAATTCTGGAAGATTGATCAGCTAGAAGAATGTAGAATTGTTACACCTTAAAGGGCTTGAGTTCCCAAATATACTTTAGTCTCAGGTAGAGCCTGGTGGGCTAAGTCAGCCCCTGGCTTGTTATATGTCTTCACCAACAGTGAGATCTTCCTAATTCTCTCATAATCATGAGTGGTTCAAATAGTTATTCCAATTAAAAAACAGTGACCTCTGTAGCTGCAGACACTGTGAAGCAATTCATTATCTAAGTTTGCAGCAGAAGCACTCTGAAACCATTCAAGTTGTTCTCTCTGTGACATAGCTCACTCTGCTCTTCCTCCCATAAGTGACTTGGTAACCTTCCAGCCTATTAATCTCTAATTTTCACACAATACAATGATTTGAAAGACTTCAGGACCTCAGCTGTGAACTTTGAAGATTAATTACGCCACAGTACCTGCAGATACGGAGGTCAGCAAGTGTTTGTTATAGAACTCTTTTAGAGTTTGTTAAGAATAATTATATATTGCATTGCCCATTAGCCATACACAGTTTTTTTTAAAGGTAAGTTGAATTAATGTCTAAGTTAACACAGTGACAATGTTTCCTATATACTTTTAGCAGTACACCGATTCATCTAGTTTGTTGCCTAGAGTTTCTGTTTAACTTTTGAAATGACTGGACTACTTTTGTTAGATAGACACTTGTGAATATGTTCAGGACCATGGCTTCTCAGCATGCATATGCCATTAACCCATGAAACATAAAATATACATTATATTTGAAATGTTATCTGCTTAGTCTTATTAGAGCAGATCATATTTTAGGTTTTGTGGTCCTTGTGGAACCATTATGTGAGGTATAAGAAAGCCTAATAAAGGACAGATTCATTAGAGGACTGGATGGAAGCCAGTGTAGGATGATGCTTTTGCATCCTTGTCATTGTATTAAGGTGCCTTTTACTGCCATAATGTGTTACACAGGAAATTACTCAGCTTAATAGATGTGGGTTAAAATGTCGGTTCTGATTAGTGAAACTGCAAAGGGCAATAAATTGTATTATATTTTTACAGTTACCTTTACCATACAGGTAGAAAATAGCATAAGCTTTCTAGCAGGATAATTATTTCTGAGTAACAACAGTGCATTCTGTTTATACCAGCATGCTTTTGGGTAGACATTTAGGAGGCTAGTGCTGTTTTATAATTTGTAGTAGAAAAGGCATTTTCCCCATAGCCGCTGGGAAGAAGGACATATTACTATTGAAGTTTTATATTTAAATTAGCCTACATCTAAGAATTCTGGGGAACCAGGAAGTCACTCTTATCCAACTACCAAAGGTCATTGAGGGTTTTTTTTTCATACTGTTAGGATTTACTGACTTATCTTGTGGGGTTTTTGTTTTGCCTTTTTATGTAATCAAAGATGGCTGATAATTGTGGACTTCTGTCTTTTTTCAGCTTTGTTACGGATTTGTTGAAGTGGTCAGATATATAAATCGCCTCAGGGAAATGCACCTATTAACATATGTGGGAGATATTAGGACTGTTTCTGGGTTAGTGTCCAACTAGTAATCAGGTCTGAGTAGCGTTAGCCTTTAGTTAGTTACTTACTATAGAGAAGACCATCATCTGTTTCTGGTAATAGTGTAAAGCATAGTAGAGCCTTCTAAAAACAGAAGGTGAGTCTCACTTGTAGTAGTTACTTACATTCAACTGGACAACTTCTATGAGTTTGAAGATGCTTTGCTGTTCACCTAATCAGTTTCTTAAGTTCTGAGTGTCAGGAACATAGTCCAGCATTTATAGCCACACAAGTAACTCAGTCACCTTAATACACTCACCATGCAATGTGCCAAGGCAGATGTAGATTGTCCAATCACATGATGTTCTTGTATAGTCATGTACAATCAGCAGCTTCCATTACACATTTCATGGTGATTGAACTAAGTGACTTAGTTACTCATGTGACTATAAATACTGTAGTATGTTCCTGACACTCATTAGTATCTGCCTCTTTCTCTTCCCATTGGGTGGGTAGCATGGGCATATGGTGACCTATAGATATTCGGAAATCTTGTAAAGATCCTAAAGAATGTATATATGTTGTTTTTACCGCAGCTATAATGTGATTTTTCACAAACCACTAATCATTCAATATGCTGGCCAGGGTGCCTTTAATAGCTTTCTTCCATCTACCTCTGCCAGGTCCATGTTAAATCAATAATTATTTTCCTGTCTGGTGAACCATTACATTATACACATTTGTTAATCGATCTATAATATTGGCACATTTTATAGCCTATTGGCAGTCTTTATAAGTGTGAAATATTTTAATCACTGCTCATCAAGAAGAGCCAATTCTAAAAATATGCTCAAATCTATGAAGACTCCTCAAAGAAGTTTTCGCTCAAGGCGAGAATGCAGTACATGCTGAGAGGCAATGTGCCAAGACGTTACAGTGAGGAATATTTGCATATTACATCATATGCAAGAAACAGTGAATGCAAAGGATATTTTAATTAAGATTTTTAATTTAGGTGTTCCCTGCTGTGCCGTTATTACTGCAATATCTTTAAAAGCTGCCATAGATGATAACAGATCTTTGGCCACTAGTATATATTATTTATGCTTCCTTATAAAATATATCTTTTTTTTAACACATCAGCTCAGTTTGAAATGGCAAGGATCCAGAAAATATCACTGATCAAAAATTATTTGCTTTTTCTTATTTTACATTTTCCAAAAGGTGATATATTATGACAGGTTTATCATATCAGAAATACAGTATATTCCAAATCTATGATAGCTACAAAAAAAGAAAGATCTGAGAAAGGGCTCTTGATTTAATAAGGTTTTTACAATTCATTATAGAATCTCAAAGTAACCCAGAATGGTCAGGTATGAATGGGTGTATTTTCTTACAGATTGTAGCCTTACTACAGCCAAAATGTATTTTTGTTTAGTTTTAAATAGAGTGGGAAGGTGTTAATGTTTTTTTATTTCTCGCAGTGGCCCCATTGGGGATATTTTGCCTCACTTTCTTTCCCTGTGACACCTGTAGAAGAAATGTAGGGTGTGTTTCTTACAAGGCCAGAAGGGCATTGACAGGGAAAAAAAACACTTTCAGAAGCTCTAACAGCTCTAATATGTTTTTGCCCATATTGGAGAAAAATGCCATTACTTTCTGTCCTAATAGGCAATGGTTATCTCCAAGAGTAATGTCCAAAATAAGTATTGCTAAATAAAGGGCTACATTTAAATTTGCACTCTTATATAAATTGCAGACTGAGCATTGTGATGTTTGCACCAGTTCACTTTAAGTAGTATGAGGCTTGAAAGGAATGAATAGTGTTTCTCAGAATAACAAAGGTAGCTTTAGTAGAAACATCAGACAAGTGTCATGTATTCAGGGACAGAACTTCCTGTAAACTCCTCTTCATTCAGCAGGGAATATCCGATAGAGCCATGTTTGTTGTAAATAGGATGACAAGCAATTCTTCTGTGCGGACATACTGACTGCTAACTGTTCTTTGAAACATCAAAAAAATGTGGATGTTCCTTCCCATACATTCATCAGCTATACTCTCCTGACACAGCTAATGAGCAAACAGATTGACCTCTGAACTAATACAGTTTCCAGAGGGAGGAAATGGCACTTGACTTAAAAATGTTACAGTTTCCGCTGGTTGTCTTTAAGAAAAGAGAGAACCATATGTTTCTCTCATGTTTATGTATGTACTATAAATAGGTCCCATAAATAGGAGAACATACATAAATATTATACCTTCTTTGGTTTCTACAAATGTATGTTAAAAAGGCTCCCCCTTAGCCCAGTTTGGGGCTGTGTAGGTCT